CGAGGAGGGGCCGAAGGAGGCCAGGAAGGAGAGGGGGGAGAAAGGGGAGAGGGGGGAGAGGGGCAACGAGCTGGAGCTCCGAAGCCTCAGTTTGGGGAATCAGGGGAAGCTCCGACAGCTGCGGGAGATCCTGGAGTCGCAGCTGAGGAGCTGCGCCGAGTGCTTCCGGGCCCTGCTCGAAGAAGGGCGAAGCCCAAGCCCAAGCAGCCGAAGCAGCAGCCTCTTCCCAAGCCAAGGACGAGCGCCAACAAGAGGCGAAAGGGGCGAAAGGGAGCGAGAAGGCGTCGAAAGAGCGCTCATTGGGAGCCCTCCGTCGCCTTTGGAGCTCCAACTCCGTCCTCGCCTGGACCGGCTTCTGAGCCAGATCGAGAGCCCCCAGGACCCCAGGACAACACAAACTCAAAAAACCCATCATGATCTAGGAATCGAGAGGAGCTGTTTCTCTTGGAGCTCGAATAGAGGCTTTTTTTTGAAGAGTTGAGAAGGGAGATTGCAGCGGTTCAACAAAAATGTTGTGCACCTGCCAGAGGAGCTGGAGGTGGGGCACCAGGCCTGCACGGCTCGCGCTCTCTCTCTCTCTCTCCATCGCTCTCTCTCCATCGCTCTCTCTCTCTCTCATATGACGCATTTGCTGAGTTCCTGCGTTCTTATAGCGTTCTCCATGAAAATGATGATATAGACTTCACGCTGCAGGCGGAGGTGCTGGAGGACAGCCTGGCTGCCCTGCAGGGGCTCATCGGCGAAGCCGTTGGATACGGCTTCTCAGAGCTGCGCGAGTCGCTGGACATGGGGGAGCTCCGGCGACGCCTCTCAGACATCCGACAAAGCCAACGGCAGCTGCAACAAGAGCTTCGGAGGCTCACGCAGCCCAGGCGGGAAGGAACTCACTGCAAAAGGGGCAATCAGAGAGGTCGCAGGATGGTCACTGACATAGCGACTCAACAGAATAGCATGGAGGAAGGACAAGACAACGAATTGGGAGCAAACCACGCATGTTGAGCGCAAGCAGGTTGTGACAATCAACCGAAGCCAAGCGGACATACCATGTCATACCACTTTGTTGGCCGGAGAGCACTAGCAGCACCCAACATGGCAAGCAGGGACGACACAACATAGTGGCCTGGCACAGGAAAAATTGCAGTAGCCAACCTCAGCTCAGACTCTTCGTTGCTCTGAGTTTCCCACTCAGAGCGGTTCTCTTTGGAGGCGTTCCGGCTCCGCCATGTCATCTGCCTTCGAGACCGAGGCGTGGCTTCGCCATCTGCTTTGCCCGATGCTTTGTGCCGAGAGCGCCCCCCCGCGAGGGATTGTAAAAAACTGTTAACACACGCCGAAGAAGCGCGTCCCCCGCCCCCTGCTCCGCAGTTCCTGCTCTCCAGCTCGCGCATGTCAAGCCACAGCATGCTGCCCGGGCCCTGGACCAGTGACTTTACGGGTGAGCATCGTCAGAGCGCTGCAATAATCATGCTGTGGCATACAGTGAAGCTATAGTTTATATATACATTTATATTTATGTTTATGCATATTTATTTATTTGTAATTTTTCGCGAAGTCTCTTGTGACGAGAGGTCACTGAACGAGGCGCCGCCATCGCAAGATGGTGATTCCTCGCTCGGGTCGCCCTGGCGAGTCTTACTGCCCGAGTGTAGCTTGGCTGTTTAGCTGGTGGCTTTTGGCTTTTCTCGTTCCGCTGCGCCAGGTTCAAAGAACCTGTGGTTGGAAGCTGGATTCTCGGACATCTCCTTTCGAGTGGACCAAATTTGACCTGGGCTGTTCTGCGCATTCTACCGTGGTTCTACAGGAATGTGATTATACAGTGCTTCTCAAACTGTGCGCCGCTTGTTGAAGAACCGTTAAATTGCCTGAAGGCTCCGGGAAGTTGCACGAGAGGAGGCACGCGATGTTGCTGCAATGTTGGCCCCCTCCCCCCTCCACCCCATCTGATGGGCCCCATCTCATCGCCTCGACGTGCGACGGCCATGTTTGGGACGCGTTTTGTCAAGGAAGACCGGACAAAGTACGCGCCAAGGAAGACCTGAGGCCCACGATTCGAGCTTGAAGTGGCGCCGCTTGGGGGGGGGGGGGGGTTCTCTCTGCGAGTCTTGCTCTTCTACAGCTCAGGGGTAGCGGTTGCTGGGGTTCCTGGAGGCCGTGGACTTCGGCTTTCGTCCGGACGGCGCGGGAGAGGAGCCGACCCAGGGAAGGTGGACTTGATCTCAAGTGCATTGCCCCCAAGTAGTGCCCAAAGTTTAGTGCCCTACAGATTGTCAGTGGCTGCGTGCTCTCAAGTTCTTCTGCTCCTGAGAGAGGAGTCGGTGGAGAGCTGGCCACTTTTCAAGGCGAGAGTTCTAGAGTTACTAGAGTACTGCGAGAGTAGTTATATGCACATTGCACTGAATCTCGACACCAGGTCAGCAAAGCCTCGCAAGAAGGAGCCTCTTTGAGCAATGATCTTTCCCATCCGAAACGGTCGAACAGCATGTCGCAGCTAAGCCAGGAGCCGCCGCGAGCGACGCCTCGGCAGGCGCTTGTGCTCTGAGCACCTGAGAGAGCACACCACGGCACCATATCTCGCCTCCTAGAAGTGTTTAGTCTCTTGGTGTTGCCCACACGGGAGATACGGGGGAGGCGGCTCGCTTTCAAGCTCACGCCCCGGGCGCCTGCGGCCGCCAGGCCGGACAACAGCACGGGGGGGAAGTCTCAGAACGTCTCAGACAAAAAACCCATGCATATGCACTCGCAGTTCATGCGACACGGCTCTTAAGTGAGACACGCCTTAAGTGAGACACATCTCGGGTGAGAGAGCAAAGGGCTGGTTACTGAAGCTCAAGTCTCAGGTGACCGGGCCCGGGCACAGGAGTCCAAGATGTCCAGGCGCCTGAAAGGGAGAGAGTGTTTAGTTTTTTTGCCATTGAAGTCAGAGGATTTACAACATGCTTTTCTTCGTTGTTTGTCCATTGGACCGGGCTCATTCGGTTTCGGCTCTCCTCAACGACTCGAAAGACACGTGAAATGAGAAACAAGGCGCAGATTCAACCTGACGGAGGGCATGTGTGAACCTTTCTTTCCGGGTGACTGCCAGATAATGTAGAGGGATCTTGTGCAGGTAGGCTCAAGCGTCTGACAGGCTTCAGAATGTTGCTATGTACTGCGACTTCAGCGACTACATGTCGCAGTTGCAGCAGTCCGGCAAGGAGCAGCCAAGAGCAGTGGCACTTAGCAGTGGCACTTAGCAGTCTTGGCGAAGAGCGGTCCGGGAACACTGGGAACTGGGAAGTTCTGGGGGAAGGACCTGTGGCACAGCGCTTCATCGCCGGAGCTCGGGAAGAAGGGTTGGACTTCCTGGCGTTCTCTCTTTTGCATTCTTTCTTCAGCTTTCTTGGAATCTCTGACTTCTCCCAGTTTTCGCGCGCCGCTTCGTAGGTCCAAGCTTCCAGAGCTGGTGAAAACCAAAGGGCCGGAGGTGGGGCCTGGGTGACCACCTGTGGGTGACCTGCATTGATCTTCTCGTGTGTGAGTTCTCTGTCGAAGTTGCTGTCACCGCTGCTACCTACAACCAAAAGGCTCCCCCCCCCCCCCTCCCCCAACCCCAACAACGGCCCTAAAGCTTGTGAGGTTTTGAACGTATGGACCTTGTGTAAGGATCCTAGTAAAGAAAACTCGTCTTTGGGATCCTCAGGAGCTCTCCATGGCAATTTGCATCGTCTACAGGGCCAGCAAAGATTCAACTGCTGGAAGTTTGGAGGGTTCTGAGAGGCTTGTAGGGACGCCACGAGGGCGAAGGAAGTTATAGAGGCGCTGTTGCTTTGAGTTGCTGTTTTTGTAGGGAGAAGGCCTGTGACGACGTCATGTTGAACCGACATCCTCTGTTCTCGCCTACTCGAGTGTTGAGCAGAAGTTGGCCATGCCTTGGAGAGCAGAGGGTCGTGCAAGCTTGGCCTATCTTCCCGATTCTTTGAGCCGCTTGATCTGCAGCCACATTTGCGAGATTGCTTTGCGAAGGCAAGGGCAGATGGAAGACAAGCTGCTATGGCGGTCGCAGAAAGGCCAAGGGGCTCTTGAGTGAATGCTGCAGTGCGAAGATGTCAGAGCACGGTTCATGCAACCCGCCTCGGCCTGGCCACAAGCTGAAGGGTGGGTAGAGGTTGTGTGCGAGTGTGTGGCTTTCCTTCAGCATGATGGAGACGATGTTATCCACAGTTGCAGAGAGCCGTGCTTTGGGGGGACATCGCCCACGCGTGCAGTAGCAAGGGACCTCGGGGGTTGGGTTCCATCAAGGCTATAGCGGCTATACACCAAAATCGAGGGGATGGGAGGTGGGGGTGGGGGGGGGGGGGAAAGGATGGGAAGAGGATTGGGTGGGCCCCAAGAAAAGCACGACCAGGGAGCCATGGCCTCGGAGGATGAGAAGATCGTAGTTGCTGGACTCGCATCGTTTTGAAGCTCCGCATTTGTGTCGTGGCAGAGGCTCCGCCGGATGCGGCTTGGGCGGCCACGCATGGTAGCACGATCTGTAAATGACCAGAGCTGTAGAACCTCTTGCTGATGCGGGGACTATGGGCATATTGCTGGGGCACTTGGCTATGGTTCAGCTCAGTGACCCGAGTTCCTCATGAGTGGGGTTCAACAGTCTGAACCTCGAAGGGGTTGGTTTCACGGCGAATTCGTTCACTGTGGCCGTCTGGGTAAATCATGCCTCGAGGAATCGTAGGATACTTGGCACATCTTGCGACTTTACGTGATCCAGTAGTTGTTTATCTGAGAATGCTACTGGGCATTGACACCTAGTTGAGGTGTGGGAGCCGGCGGTGTGTGACCATTGAAAGCCACGAAAGAAGGGAAGCATCAGTCCGAGCCATGGCCCGAAGCCAGGTGTGGTACTTCTAAAGAAGTGCTTCTTATGTTTCTAATATGCAAAAGTCTCAGAGCAATCGCTACCAACATCTGCACGGCCCAGCTTTGCACGGGCTTGAGCACCGAGCACTGAGCCGCAGTCACAGGGTGGTGGCATCCGGCCGCTGATCGCGGCGATGAACCACTTCGCGCAGGAGAGAGACGCCGACACGCCGACGCGCCGACAACCCTCCCCGCCCCCAAGCAAGAGCTCAATTTGATCATTGCTACATTTTCTTTCTCTCTCACCTCAAGCTGCGTGAGAGCGGCTCTCAGCGGCTCTCACCGTTAGCTTCACACCGTAGCGGCGCACTTCACTCTTCCTCAGCGCTTCTCACGGCCTGTTCAGCGCAGGACGCGGTGATCCATCGCTACGCCTTGTCGGCGTTGTCTCCCCTGGCCGCCGGCATACAGTGGCGTGCGCATAGAGACTGAGAAGTTGGAAGAGGATTCAACGAGAGAGAGAGAGAGAGAGAGAGAGAGAGGAGAGAGTGTACAGTGAGTTTGCGAGAGGGCTTAATACGGTGGGAGAGATCATGTTGACATATTGGGAGAGTGAGGCGTACATCCGGAGTATGCCACGCAGGCTCCGGACTGGCTGAGAGAGGGTTAAGCCGTTTCAGTGCCCTTGCCGTTGCCGGGGTGGCCTCTCTTCTGGTTGTTTCTTCTTGCTATTTTGTTGAAGTACCCCCCCCCCCCCCTCCCTTGATATGCGCCCTCTCGGATTGAGAATGCTTTGAGCAGATCATCGATGCCGGCGGAGTTCTTGCGGTGAAGAACACACTGCTATCACTCGGCGATCTCAGGCTGCTTTAGAGCTGCCTCCGAGCTAGCTGCTCTCCAAAAGAACGAATGGGGAAAATGGGGGGCGGGGGGGGGGGGGGGGAGGGGAGGGTGTTTCAAGTGGTTTTGAGTATTCTGTTTTTTTTTTTCAGTTGTGGAGGTTGCAATCAGCGCGTTGCAGATGATCAACGAGTTGGCGAAGCACGAGGGCTGCAAGGCATGGGGGATCACATAGTGACTATTGTGAAGAGCACGGCATCGCGCAGACGAACATCCCAAAGCTTTCCTCCCCAAGTGGGCTTTCGAAGATGCCCCCTCAGTGTGCTCAAAGTGAAGGACGCCCTGGTCTCGGCCGGCCTTATTCCCGTGCTCCTTCAAGTCATGCAGGCGTGGAAGCCGAGCAGAGCCCCGTTTGCCTCGAGGGGGTGAATGCACATTTTGTCCAAGAGAGCTTTCCAGGCCCATGCCGCCAACCCTCATGTCCAAGCGCTTGGACTGAAATGCCGGGGCGCTCAGGGTGCAGTTCAAGAGAGTGCTTGGTGGCGACGCAATTTTTTTCCACAAGTGCCCCTGACGAGATTCGCTCCAGTTTGAGTCGTTCCAAGTGTTCCACAAGTCACGCCAAGGCCTCGCCACTCTTTGCGGGAATTCTCCGTCCATTCAGGCAGTGCGGGCTAATGCAAGATTAAGAATTCAGCTGCCTGTAACTCAATTCGTTTTAGGTCGAAATTAGTAAACCCGAATGGCTTGCAGTTTGCTTCCGACCTGTTGCGAGGCTGGCCTGTTCCAGGCACAGGGGATTCCTGCGATCCTCAACGCCATCCGGTCCGCTGCAGACACAAGGTCCTGCCCTTTTTATCCGTTTACATGACTAAGTTTGCTCATGAGATGTCATGCGCGCGAGGTCCACAGATGAAGGAACAGTGGAACTCATCACAGAAGGGGCACATCATGCATGTTTGCAAAGGTGTTTGCAAGGTGTTTGCAACTCAACGGGCTTTCAGTTGTTGCTGCTCTTTTCGTTCGTGAGCCTTGGAAGTTGATTTGGCCAAGCCGTCAGCTTTGCCAGATGAACCTGCTAGCAGCAATCTCGACGAACCAGGAGCAGCTTGCCCAGCTCTGCACTTCTCTGATCTCTGCTCTGTCTGCTCTCTGCTCACCATCAGGCCTGTTTCGCGTTCTCGGCTAGGTGTCGTCCACAAATTATGCAGTATGGTGGTATCGAGATCACTTTGCAGGCTCTCTGAGGGCCAACGCAAGCGCAACGTTGGGGGAATGCTTTCAGCGTCTTTTCAGCTGGGAGGTCATGAGATTCTTCATCGACTTCCCTCTGATCCAGGACTGCTGATAAAAATGCTGCAATCGTCTGGGGCTTTCCTAGGGTTGGGGGGGGGGGGGGGGGACAGAATCTGCCAAAGAATGGGCGCCGCCGAGATCAGGAGCACTGCCTTCGGATTCTCTCAGGCCTGACACTTTGGCCGGAGGCCACATCCCGATCCCGATGCCTTCCGGATGTTCGCATACTTATGTGTAGCTGAGTCGCTAGTTGTCATCATGATTTAGAGTACAAGGCGGCTGCTAAGCTTCTTCAGGCCAGGGGCATTGCATGCGCATGGCCTGCGCAACTGGCCAAGAGCAGCATGATTGCGAGGCTGGCTACATCGATTGCATCATTGCTGCAATGGCCAAGTACCCCGAGACACAGGGTGTGCAGGCCGTGACCTTCCAAGCTCGAACCGCAAACCTTATACTCGTACTTGCACATCCGCCTAGATGAGCGGCGCCTATGCCCTGGGCATGGTGGCTGGTTCAGACGATGCCAAGGTGGGCAGCTGCCACTTCCCATTGACAGAATCAGGCGAAGCGCTCATCTGAACGCTGAAGAGTAGTCAGTGCCCAACGCAGCTTAGTTTAGGGGTCACGCCGCCAGAAGCACCGGCAATCACCTGTCCAAGTGATGCACTGTATTTCCAGGTGGCTGTCATCAATGCCAAAGGCATTGAAGTCACTTGCCGGCACCTGGCGGCTCTACCCAACACGACATTGAAGGGCACAAAGGCCAGATAAAGGCGGCAGTCGCAGTCTCTTCTCGTGTAAAGGCTCTGGTGACCGCCATGTATTGGCATCCGATGGACCAGCACGTGAACGAGCAGGCGGGATGCCTGCTTGACGGGGCCAAGGCTCAGACTATAAGATGCAGTCATAGTGCTGAAGCTGTGAAAAACAGTTTGGCAGACTTGATTCTGGGCTGCAGTTTTGGGGGGGGGTTTCTCTCATGTTTGTGAGCCGGTCAGGCATGTGCAGCTCTCTCCATTCTGTCGGTCCCTCAATCACTCATAATCATTTTCGCTCAATTTTCTGAATACCAATCCGTTCCATGCCGCCCCGCGTGCTCACGAGGCTGGTTCAGTGTGAAGGGAGGGGAGCTAGGCGGCCGAGCTGAAGAGAGCCAAAGAGCCCTTGAGCTTGAGGTGTGAGGCCGACCGCGGCAAGGCGATCCTGGCCAACACCGTGGCAGGCCGGAGAGAGCAAACGGCTTTTAGAGGCAGCAGGCGTGCAGTGCAGCGCGGAGAGTTTTTGGAGCCGAGGCGAAGAGAAGGTGCCGGCTCCGGAGGCCGCCGGAGTTCTGCCGAGGTGTTTGCGTGCTCAAAGTGAGCTCTTTGAGCTCTGAGGGTTCGGCGCTTCGAGGGCTGTTTTTCCAACTAGTACTCGGTGAGTTCTCGCTTTTTGTGAGGTGATCACCAACTCGATGCGAAACATCTACACGATCGCGAACCCTGTGAAGCAGATGGTCAAGGCACTCAGAGCCCTCTTGAATTGCTTTCAAGACCAACTCTCAGGCTTCAAAAGTCTGAGAATTTTGTCCCCAAAAGCGCCTCCGAAGCCTCCGGCCGCCTCTCCATGGGCTCAAAAGCAGCTGTAGAGCTGCCAGCTGATGCCAAAGATGAAGGTAAAGATGGAAGGGCGCATATGGCGCATCTCAAGCACATTGCGCTAATGCTGGGCCAGAAGCCTGTACATGTCTGAGCAGAGTTCCTTGAGTTTCAGAGAGCCCCTTGAATTGGAGAGCATGGACGGTGATGCGCTGGTCTTACGAGGGGGCTGCGCTGCTTCTTGTTGGTGCTCCGCCAATCCATCCCGGCCACCGCTTCCGCTTGAGCTTGAAATTTCTGAGGACTGCTCCCGCGCCTACATGATGTGCTGCGGTGCTCGCCGGGGCCCCTCCTTCTAGTACGGTCCTTTAACTTGGGCCGTTTGTTTTGAGGGGTGTGTCGGGCCGCTCTACGCAGCATCACAGAAGGAAAAGAAGTGTAACATAGTGTAAATGTAATGCCACTTCACTCCGAAGAAGTGGTGAAGGTTCGCACTACCGGGAGGAGTACGTGGAAGACCGGGTGCCGCTGATGGCGACCACGGCGGAGGTTTGGTGACGGGGCTGCTGGGGGTAACTTGGGTAACCCGGTTCCCCTGGGTTCTCCCGGCTGCAGACTTTATTCGTAGTTAGCTCCTCTTCTGAAGTTAAGTGCGACATGTTGTCTTGCTGCTTTCTCTTGCAGGCAGAGGAAGTGGTGTCAAGAGTCCGCCTGGGCAAAGTTCCCAGCCCACCAGGCGCGCCACGGCGCAGAATGTTGGGGAAATGCCGCTTACCCCGACTCCTCCCAGATTCCCCAAAGCCAAGGCAGTAGCCTGCTCACCGCTCGACATAGTGCTCGACATTGCACTCTCTCTTCCACAGACGATTCCATGATGCTCAGAATAGAAGTCTTGAACGCTCTGCTAAGTGCCAGTTGATCACAATTTCTTGAGAGTCGTGTTTCGGTTTTTCTTCTAGCTCTGTTTCGCTCTCGCTTTCTCTCTCTCTCTCTCTCTCTCTCTCTCTGTCTCTCTGTCTCTGTAGAGGCTCACCGGACGCGGTGGCTGCTGTGGCTCAGAGGCTCGCGAGAGGGACAGGGAGACAGAGAGAGAGTATAACACCTCAGCCAAGAGGGGTAGAAGAAGAGTATGACACCTCAAGGGTCGGGGGGTAGGCACGACAACACCAGCTGCACCGAGGCACCCAACCCGAACCAACGTACCACCCCAAATACAGGGGCGGGTAAAGATGCCCGGGGCTCCGGCCCCAAGCCCCTAGAAAGAAAGAAAGAAAGAGTCAGGCGCAAAGGGGGGGCATGGCATGTCATGTGAAGCGGGGAGGGGGAAAAAAGCACCACACTCACCAGCCCTTTCCTTCTCTGTGGCAACTGAGGGTCCCCGAATACCGGGGCATGCCCCCACGCCACCAAGAAAGAAAGAAAGAGAGAGCGAGAGAGAGGCCCTCGGGCCTTCAAGCCCAACAGAAGAAGAAGAAGAAGAAGAAGAAGAAGAAGAAGAAGAAGAAGAAGAAGGAGAGAGAAGGGGGGCTAAGTGTACAGCGAGAGGGAGAGAGAGAGAGAGCGCGATTCTCTGTGCATTGACAGCGTGATGCGTACAGGCTTCCCAGGCTCAAAGCGGCCCAGTGGAAACCACAGGCCTTCCGACTTGGATCTAAGATTCGTTTTGGGAGGTTTGAGCTTCGAGCTCTTTGACCGGATGCGGGCGAAGGGGCCTTAGGGCCTTCAAAGCTCCGAAAGATGCGGGGTCAAGAGAAGTGTGAAAGGGGGATTGAAGCGGTTGAAAGCCTCGGAGGCCCCTTTCCTTGTGAAGGTCTAGGGAAAATGAGGGTTTCGGGAAGAGTATCGGGACCTCGGAGTGGCTCGGATCCAACGATGTCCGGGCCGTCAGCCTGGCGCAAGAGGTGCCCCGGATGCCGGAGCTGCGAGGCGTCGTGAGACGGCTGCGAACTCGGGGGGCGGGGGCTGCTTTTCTTGTCCTGCTGCTTTTTCTTCAATTTCGCTCAGCTCCCTCACGTGTCACGTTCTGCGCCCACTTTTCCGGGGGGGGGGGAGGGGCCGGGAGGGGGGGGGGTTATATATGGTGATATTCCCGCCCATGTCGAGTTCTTCCGATCTCTTCTCCGAGGTGCGATGAGGCTCAGCGCGCAGCCCGGGGCCCCGAAAAAAAGCCGGAGCGGCCCTTCCTGACCCCGGAGAATGAGCTGAGAATGGGAGCATGGGCAGCAAAGGAGTAGAGACTCTGGAGAGAAAAGGAGCTCTCGCATTGCGAGGTCCGGAGCCCCGTCCCAGCTCATTTGGCTCCTCACGCGCCGGCCTTGGCCTTCAAAGGCCTTCTGGCCTTCAAACCTTTCCGGAAGCTGAGTTGAGTTGAGCAGGGGACCAGGCCCCCCCGCCGCCCAAAGAGCCTGCGCCAGAAGAAAGAAGGAGGAGAAGAGAAGAGAAGAAGAGAGGAGCCTCTTCCCCCCGAACCCCCCACCCCCCCCACCCCCCCCAGTTAGGCGTGGATGTGATCTGGATATACGAGCTGAAGTGGCCCACCTGAACAAGTCTTTGTGGCAGTGGGGGAAGCATGGAGGCCAGAACGTTGCAGCCGCTCCAGTCCCCTGACTTCCTAGACTGTCGTCCTGGAGCCTCTCCAGGCGCTTTTCAGAGCTTTTAGAAGAGCTTATGCTTTGAAGCCCTCCGCTCCAGGCTTCTAGAATGCTTATAGCATGCTTCTCTCAGATCCTGGGCGCAGGTCCGAACGTCTCAGTGAAGGAGTTCGACCTGCCTGGGTCCACAGGAGAAGAGAGAAACCTTGCGGAAACCCTGAGAACAGCAGACCCCTGGACCCTCCAGAACCTTCTCGAGGCTGACTCCAACTTCTTTGTGCACTGTCTTGGAAAATGACCTCCGGCAAACCCCGCAAAGAGCCAGGTGCGGGTGGCTGTAACAACAATTAGCAAGTAGGGTTTTCAATTCTCCAGCAGAAAAGTTATTTAAATGGAGGGAATCAATGGAGGCTTCTGCAGCCACCAGCTTTTGCTTTGCCAGGTGTCCGTTGGAAGAAATGCCAATGCGAACGCCAGAGTCCATTGTGACGGAGGCGCGCGGCCTTGTACCGACTTCTGATCCTAAGACATCGTGACGGAGAGGGAATGGGGGCATGGGAGGGTGCATCCCCCACGCCAAATTGAGGTTGCTGCAGAAGTGGTTCACCCGCTTGAAGTCACGTCAGACGCTTCAAGCTTGCTCTTCGGAGATGGCGACAGAACACGAATGTAGAGTTGGTTCTCAACTTCAACGAAGCGCTGCCTCCAAGGCCCCTGTCCTGGAGAGTCTGAGAGAACTGCACGGTAGGGGGTAGACCTGTGTACAGCCTCGTCGCGTGCCATTCCTAACTTTTCTGCCTGCGCCTCTGTTGAATATCATGCGCTGAAAAAACTAATTGGAAATTCTCGGCCGTGAAATGAAGGCAGCGCAGGCTGCGCACAGCTGTGCGCAGCTGCGCTCCAACTGCAACTGCACTCTCTCTACTTAGTTCTCTAATTGCTTGTAAAATTGCTCTTCGGAGTGCCTGCACGTGCTTCCGCATGGCCAGCGATCCTGAAGTGTGAAGTCTGGTTCACGCGGCGAAGCGGATTCCCTGTCCCTCTCAGGACATGTTTTGGGACAGGCTGTCCTAACATGGAAGAGAGGAGAAGAGGGAGGCCGATGTTGGCATCGGCCTTTTTGTGGCTTTATGGCTGGTGCGCAGCCCCCGCGCGCGGCCTGCGCGCAGACCGGTCACAGTCCAAAAGAAGTGCGTCAGAAGCGCCCGCATCGCTTTCGCTTCTTTGGGTTTCTTTTTGGGCCTCTCCCATCTTCTGCCTTTCTCTCTCTCCCTATTTTTTTCTCTCTCTCTCTCTCTCTCTCTTTTCCTCGCTTGCTGCAGCTCTCTCTTCCGTTGATGCAAACTCCTTAGCTTCTGCGCAGCTCGTGGCCATCGCGGGACTGGACGAAGCGATGCGACGGGGCCTCATCCAGGCCCCGTTACGTGAAGTTTTTGCTTTGCTCTTCTGCTCTTCAGAGTCGCCAGTGTTTGCGAAACGGGCTCTGAAATGTAAAGCGCTCTGCTGCCTTAAAACATGCATGCTGTGCTCTACAGCAAAATGCTTGCTCTCCTCTCGAAACAAAGTTTTGCGACGCACAGGCCTTCACCATCAACGGCATCGTCCAAGTGCTGCAGGCTGCCGGCTCTACTGTTACAGCCTAGCGATGCCTAGCGGTAGGGCCTAGCGTGGTGAGCGTGAACCGAGATACAGCGCTTTTCGTCATCGTATAGCACAGCTCGGCTGGATCTGATCTGCTTGGGGCCGTTTCAGCACCCGCGGGCCAGGTTCACGCCGAGAACTCGGCCGTCGTGTTTTACGCGTTGAAGGTCCCCCTTGTCTTATCTCGTCTGTGCGTGTTTTTTTGTCCCTCAAGACACACCACCGTCCGAGCTCCTGACAGGCCACCGTGACTCTGGGCTACCCACACCCGCCACCGGAGCCTGACCGGCTGGAGTTTGATCGAAGCCCGTTCTTCCAACACTCTATGTCAGAGTCTGGTGTCCACCTCACAACGCTGCGCGTCTTCAACTCTCTCTCTCTCTCTCTCTCTCTCTCTCCCCGTCTCTCTGTTTCTGTTCCTCCCGTGTGCTGTGCCAGGATGATCCACGTCTGCGAGAGCCTTCTGGATCTCGTCCTGGCTGCCGCCCGTCCTGAAGTGTGGAGAGCTGAAGAGTGAGCGCTGGGCACTACTGGGGCCGCGTCGGTCAAAGCAGAAGGGAGACTGACATATTCATGATATGATGGCACACTGGCCCGTGACAGAGACTACAGACTCTCAGGTCATGCGAGCCTTTCCAGGAGAAGCCAGGATCCAGGTGTGCTCTTCAAAAGCGAGCACGGCTGCACACTGCTCCCCGTCCATGCCTTTGTTCAGGAGACGGGCTGCGAGGCCGCGTCGTGCCACGACTCCATGATGCAATGTGATGCATTGTGAGTAGACTTGCGACAACTTGTGACACGAAGCTCTCAAACAGAATGAAGCTGTTCTGCACTTGTTTCTTTTTTCCCTCGCCCCGGGCACAGAAGTGGTCAAGGCAAATACCTGAAACAGGTTAGATCCGCGTAAAGCTCTCAGACTGCTTGGGCAGGTCTTGTCCATCCTTGCGCGGGTGGAGGCCATGCAGGACGATGCGCGTCTCACCGGCACACGGCATACGACATCCGCAGTCAGACCAGAGACGCAGGACCCCATCATCACAAAAGGTGGGATTGCCGGGGGCCCAGGGGTTGTTTCCGACTAGAGCAAAGCTCAAGCTTAAGTCCGACGGCTCCTTCGCAGACTCTTTGTTAACTTCACAGCCTCTGAGTCTGGACCGCTCTGCAAGGCGCTGATATGCACAGCGCTCAAGTCCTTCCAAGCTGACACGGGCATCCAAAGAAAAGCCCGGCCCCCTGGGACCCTCTGTGCGGCTTTCCCACATCCCATTGTGCAAAGCGACTCGAAGTCTGTGGCCGTCCAACCCTTGTTCAAAATATCAGTAATTGCAACATTTTAGCCCCCCGCATTGGCCCCCGATCCGAGCGCCGTCACCGCAGGGATGCCGCGCCTTCGCCAACCTTGGTGAGTTCCAGACCTCCCGGGAAGCTATCCGCCGCGAGGAGCCGACGCTGAGTTACGCAAGCTCCCGGGGAGCTAGTTCCGAGTTTCGGTCTTACTGTCACTCTACCATAGGATGCAGGTGGGGTCGTTGTTGATTCTTTCGAGCGGGGAGGCCCAAAAGGAAGGGGGGGATGAATCGTCAACAAATCAGGATTGAGTGGATTGAGCGTCTGCAGCATTGAGAGTTTAAGGGTCTTGAGGGTTTAGGGCTTTTAGGGCTATTAGGGCTTTGAGGCATCCTTCGGGTCTTGAGCCTTCAGGGTGCTGAGGTTTCAGGGTGTTGAAGGTTTAGGGTCTGTGGTGTCTTGCGGAGTTCAGGGCATGGAAAGGGTTTCAAGCATCCACTCTGGGACACCTGCCCCAGCCTAGAAAGTCTTCGTGTCTTGAAAAGTCCCGCGCGAGGGCGGAATTGAGCTCATCATCCTGGGCATGAAGTACCACGTCTCCCATCCAGAGGCCAGGAGCTCGCAGAACTTCTCTCTCTCTCTCTCTCTCTCACACTCACTTCCTACAGAGCCTCTGAGCTCGTGATTTGCACGAGAGAGGGATTCTTTAAGAGTACTCTGCAGGTTGGGGAGCAGGGATGCGCCGCCATCGCCAACCTGGCCTTGGACGAGGTGCGTCTCCGCGTGTCTCCGCGTGTCTCTGCGTGTTTGTGTGTGTGGTCATGTTGCCATTTTTCGACCTTGTTGTTCCCCTGAGCTACCATTGACGATGGAAGAGAGGCCAATCGCACTCATATTGCTCAGAACGAGGGTGTCAACGCGGACTGGGCCTCATGACCTCTTACCCTCTTACTCTTCCCGTCCTCTCAGCTCGCTCTCGCTTAGGTTCTCGCAGGCCTGCGACTTCATCAGTCGCATCCTGGAATCCAGGCTCGATTTCCGCGGATCGCAAGTGCCCCTTTTCACAGGTTGAGTGCGCTGTCAGCTGGTCATTGGTCATGTGCTTCTGGCAAAGCTTGCGACAGGCCTTTGGCTTGGGTGCGCTTGGAAACCTGGCCACCGCAGAGGACGTGTCTTCTCGAGTTCCAGCCTGGTGGGTATGAGGTGTCTGGCTACAATTTTAGTAGAAAGGGGCTACTGATGCAGGATAACTGCGCCGTGATCCTCAAAGCTGGGGCGGTGGACATGGCCGGAGTCAGAGATCTCCTGTGCGCACCGGTCCCATCTGTCCCTGCCTGCGCTCTGAAGCAGGTCATGCATGCCATGGCCTCCTGGACAGGCCGGCCAAGTGCAAGTGCCTCGACGTTGATGTGTTGTGGTTTGTTCTGAGGCAAAAAAAGTTGACCGCATCCTTTCCGCACCTGCCAGACGAGCCTCGGGTGCAGCACTTCGCCTGTCTGGCCTTGTCCAACTTTGCCCACGACGACGCCAACAAGGCTCTGCCTCTCACAATGCTCAGTTGGAGGAATGCTCAGCAGAGGAATGCTAGAAGGAATGCTCAGAGGAATGAAGCTGCATGGGCTTTTTTGAAATTTTCAGGTCGCAATCGGCCGGGCAGGTGGCAACAAGAAGATCATCTCCTCAATGCAAAGGCGCCCTTCAGTCCTGTAACGTGCATAGGACCGTGGACTCGTGCGTGGGACTTTTTGTGCGCTATGTTGACGGGTCTGCTTCCCTTTTGGGGAAATGCTGTCTATGCGCAGAACCATGCCCTTGTGGACCTTAATCTGTTTCACTGTGACATGAGGAAACAGCTTGAGAGCGGCTTGTTCCCGCGATATCGGCCCTGAAAGCACCCGAAACCCACCGGGTTTTCCAGCAAGATCTTGTTGAGAAAGTGGGTTTCTTCAAAGGACCTCGCTGCAAGGCCCTGTTTATTCTATGTGACTCGAATGCTTCTTGTCATAGGCTGGAAAAGCATCGACACCAACCACATCATGATTTTCCGGAATGTGATGGAACAGCTCAGTTCGATTCTTCGTCGGTGTGGTAGAGCAAGTTGTGCTGTGCAACAGGCAAAAGATTCCATTGACGTAGTGGCGCGTGGCGCTTGTCAGGAAAGCCTGAGATCACGACGGTACAAACGAAGAATCGAAAAATAAAAGCAGAAAGTTGACATAAAGATAAGACTGCAAGGCGGCACACTGTATGAAAGCATGTGTCAGTTGCATTGTACATTTTTTCTTCTGCAACAAAAGAATCCGTCAATCACTACACAAACAGTCCTAGACAGTACAGGGACCTTGTAAGGGCTCCCACAGCTTGGCTTTCTCATGGCAAGACGCCCGCCCAGGCACGCTGACCACGCCGGCGTGCAGGACAGACTTGGAGTTTCTGCATCAACCCGAAGCCCACAAGCCCACAAGCAGGAACCTGATTTTTTTGCATTTCGCCTGTGTTGTTTTAAATGTTTCCCCGTTGTTGACCCCCAAGCTCAAGCTCCAGGAGCAAGCATGCGGTGCTCTGGCCAACCTGGGTGTCAACCAGCAAAACATGGCCCGGGCTTGAGAATGCCATCAGCGTAGCATTTCAGACACCAGAGCCCACGTCCTGCACAGAAGATCCGAAGACCCTGCTACGTGCATAGAGCAGTTGCATGATGCTCTGACCTTCGCTCAAGTTGTGCTTAAAATGCTGAACGGACGCCTGTCCATCTTTCCATTCATACAACGGTTTGATGTAGCAGCTCTGCGTATTTTCTGGGGTGCCTGTCTGGCTTTGCATCCCCCGGCTTTTTGAATCTTGGCAGGTTGAGATAGCGCAGCTAAGCGGCATTGCCCTCACCTTACAGAGCCTCTGGAGATGCCCGCGGCAACCTGGAAATTCCAAGAAGAGAAGCTCAGCCGAGGAACTTGTCATTGCCTCGCTGAAAAGGTTTCCCACAGAGCCTGGTGTACAGGCCCTTGCCCTGCCACATTGCCCACTTTGCCACATTGCCCACGTTGCCATGAGATTGCAGGAGAACGGCTGCTTTGCGCTCTCCAAGTTCCTGACAATGCCAAATGAGACAGGGCCTCGTCATTTACAGATTTACAGAGCCAGAGCCATCCCGCCAGCATTGGGGAGGCGCAGCTCTTAGGGGGGGAAACTGTTGAGGTCGTACCGGCAGAGAATGAAGCAGGGGGATCTCGAGGCGGCTTCTCCAAGTCCTCGCGCTGTTATTTCATTTTTGACTCATATTGACCCTAGTCACTCGGGAAGTCAGAAGGGCTCGTGTCTTTCGCAAATGCCTCCGGGTGTGCACTCAGCATTCAGCAGTGCAGCGTCTGAGCTGCCTCTCAGCCACTTGGCTCCGAAATGACAAGTAGAGCGCGGCATGGAAAGAGCTGAGTCTTGGGCGCAGGGTATTTGCCGCAGCCTAAGATTTTTTCTCAGAACTCGGACGAAGCGCAAGCATCGTGAGCGCGTCGTAAAGTTACGCAATGCTGCACATGGACCTGAAAGATCACTGACTGAGATCACTGAGATCACTGAGGATCAGCGAGATCATCCCTGCAAGCGGGCCGGGCTCGAATGCACCAGAGCGACCGATGGCGAGCGATGCTGGAGTTTGGTGCTGTAGAGGTGGGACTGTTAAAAAGGCTTGGAGGGGTGAGTTAAGGGAGTTAAGGGTGGGTTAAGGGTAAGGTGGTTTCTGGTTTTGTTGTGTTATGGTTAGAGTGGGCAGGACGTGCAGGAGTGTTTTTTGTTGCACGCACAAGGCTGTGGGACATGAGATCGACCCTCAGCTGCTGCAGATCTCATATCGCAACTCGGTGTCAGTTCGCTGTGCACTGGCAAGCACTCGGGGGGCGCTTTTCGGGAAGACTGGTGTTCTCTTCTGCCAATGGGCGATCTGAGGAAAGGGCCAGGAAGAGGAGCTGGAGACAGAGGTTGTCTACCAGGCGCGGCCCTGCAGTCACGTGCGGAAAATCCCCTCTGCCCCACGTGTTTTTTGCTGCACGAGCCGAACGCCCACAGCAGGATGCAGCTGGAGCAACGGAGCAGCCGCGGCTCCTGGTCTCCCTGAAAGCTGCCTGTGCCTGAGATGTAATTCCCTTCGGAGGGATTTCGATTAAAAGGCGTGCTTTCTGTGTGCTTTCTGTGGCTCTTCCAATGTTTCAGGTCAGCGCTCTGAAGCTCCTGTGCGAACACGAGCATGCCAGGCGCAACGCTCTATCTCACATGAGGGAGCGAGTCAAAATGAGTCTCAAAAGCACCTGTACTCGTACCAACATGGCTGCCAGGTGTGACAAAGTCAGCCGCATGTTGGCAGAGTGCCGGTCAGCGTGACCCCTTGGAAGACTGCTCGTCGTGTGTTCCGAACATGCCACAATGAGTGGTTGGGATCGTATGAGTATTGGTTTAGAGATGTTGGGGATTTTGTGGGGATCGACCGTGGGCAAGTAGTGTCTTGAACCTTCGCAGTGTTTACAACTTTGCATCGCACGAGCCGCGGCCCTCCCTCACTCCCTTCGGATCTCCAAAGCATGTTTTGCAGCTGTCCTAAGCAGATCCTGCACGAGACAGATCTATTGAGGATGGAGCGAATCAAATTCTGCAGCAACGATTTCCTCGCACAGGCACCTGGGACCGTTGTCGGACGCTGAAACCCCTTGTGACACCTCTTGTGCGCGCGGACGGCGGCGCCCGACTTGGTCGTTTGGCATGGGATGGGTTTCTGCCCACGCCCAGGCCCAGGGACAGAAACAAGAGCCTGACCGAGGGGCGAGGGGTGTTGGTATTCTTCTGCGCATGCGCGGTTGCACGGCTCTGTGAGCGACTGGAGCCATTTGGAGTCCAAGATAATCCAAGAGAAAAGCATAACTCGGTATATCTCAGTATATAGCTGTGTTTATCTTGCATGTCGGTGCTTTGTGAATTCTGAGAGGTACTACAAGGAGCTGCGTTGGCTCCGAGATCAGCAGCTCGGCTTCTGGGGGGGTGCGGCCTTTTGATAAAGCCTCCTTTTCGTTTCTTTCTCCCTTCGAGGCTCTACATGGCGTACGAGAGTGAGGAGGATGCCCAAACCCGCCGGAACCTCCTCACTCCCGACGACTTCGAGGCGGCTCACTCAACTAAGTGCCGCGCACTTCGTGTCTTCGTGTTCTCTCCGTGTGCGACTCTCGTAAGTCTCGCAAGACTCGCAAGTACATCTCGAAGTGCAAAGTGCACAGTGCATAAGCGGATGCAACAAGGTCTATTGGTTTGAGCCCGAGAAGTTCCTTGACGAGGACACGAGGCCGCTTGTTGCAGAGGCTTTCAGCTTCATTGCTCTGCTCTGCTTTGCAACGCTTTGCACTATTGCCAGCTGGCAGGGACTTCCTTATAAGATGCATCCGTGAGACGAACCGCCGGCTACTGGATGAGTGCCTCGGTCAAGAGGCACTGAAAACGCAACGTCTCCCAGCTGACGTGAGATGCAACCTTCGTGTGCAAGTGTCCGAGGAACCGGCACCTGAAGTCGACGCTTCAGGAGAGCCCCACGCAATTCGCAATGTTGTGAACTCTCTGAGTTCCAGTGACTCTTCCAGTTTGTCTCAGTGCGAGAGGAGATGAACCTCTTTGAGAAAGCTTCCCTGCCAACGGCCCCTTCGCATTGTCGAGAGCGCTAGGGGGGGGGGGGGGGATTTCGTTTTTACCCTTGACCCTTAAATGTTACCTTCATGCACATAACACACCTCTTACACACTTTGGACTCTGGACACCTTTTAAGAAGGGCCTGCAGATTTCGTGAGCCGGGCGTCGATCCGTCACCAAAATCGCATTGCGTTTTGCGTTTTGCTATGCAGCGCCACAAGGGGGAGAAAAGAAGACGGCTTGTGTCTACACGACTCACAACCTTTGCCGATGTGTTGCCGTTGCTCTCTGGGTTGCAGGCCAGGCTTTTGAAGAACAGCCTCCAAACAATCTATAAAATACACACATGCCAAGATGAAGTTGCGGCACCCGGGCATGTGACTTGCCGTGTGGGAAAAAAGAGCCGACGGCCTGGCACCGGGAATGAAGTCGATGCTCTGGCGGGTCGTTTGCTTACCCACGAGACCTGCACGCCACGGGTGCACAAGACCCGTGCTACGAAAAATGTGCGGGGGCTGAACGTTGCGGAGCGCAAAGCGGCTTAAAGCGATCTAAATGTCCTGTGAGTCAAAGTGCCCTGTGTGCACACATCTGCACCCATTGACGTTCCTCTTCATGCCCCCTTCTTGGTCTGACTTAGAAGGGGCAGCTAGTGGCCAGCTGAAGAGGGTGCCCCAGAAGCTCAGGTCTTGAAGAGGCTGAAGCTCAAGCACGCCGCTGCGCAGATCATGATCGAGCTGTACAACCTGCTGCGGACCCGAGCCGAGATGAAGAAGTTTAAAGAAGCGGCCTGCGAACTGATCGGCATGGCAATGCCAGCTCCCGGCACGGATGGCGCTGAGAAAGCTGAAAGAGCTGAATGCACCTCGGGTCCCAGCCCTCCAGCAGAGGGCGCGGAGGCTGTGACCTCCCCGGAGGATCTTCGGATCAAGGTGCAGCAGCAGGAGGCCTGGAGAGAACGAGTGGGGGTCTCCGTAATGCTATCCCGAGTCGAACTTTGTAAGAATAGGCGGCAAGCTGTTCGCGCGCAGCATTGCAACATGCAGTCGGGGTGCGGTTTTGTTGTCGTGTCAAGAGGCGGAGCTGCAAGAGCTGCGCTCGCGGCTCTCCTCCGCCATCGACGCCTGCCTGGAGCGGGAGAAGGCGGCGGAGGAGCACGAGAGGGCCGAGCGGCTCCAGCAGCGGGTCTTGGACCTGGAGAGGGAGCGGAACGCGGAGCGCGGCGCCTTGGCCGAGGCGCTGCGTGAGCTTCGCGAGCTCCGCGAGCTGCAGCCGGAGCTGGAACGCGTGAAGGGCCGCATGGTCCGAAGTGTTCACAAGATCAGCGAGAGTCTGCAGGGTCTGGGCGAGCTGGAGGGTGAGAAGGCAAGGAGCGCCAGGACGCGGAGGGCGCTGTCCTGCGCAGATTGGGGCAGTTGCGAGGAGGATGACGCGGAGAGCGTTGCTGGAAGCTTCAGGGCAGCCCTCTCCCGGCTGGACTCCTTGGTCGTCGCCCTCCCATCCACAGTGCAAGATGTGGCGGAAGAGATGCAGCAGCTCAAGCAGCGCTTTGACCGCTGTGAGCTGGAAACCACCTCCATGGCCCCGACGGCAGATCCAGAGGAGCGAGTGCGACAGTACCTTCTGAGTACCTTCTGATTGATGATTCAAAAATACCGTTTCGCTCCGCATTATGTTGCTCTCTGTATATTGCTCCTTTTGCCGCTGTTGGAGATCTAGGAGCCGCTGTCGGTCGGAGAGGTGGAGCACAGCCCCGCGGCCAGCTGCACTGGCACCCACGAGACACTCTCCGTAAGGACACGGACCCTTAGAGATTCCTATTTCCGTGAGCGCAGCATAGCACAGCGCCTATAGAGACATTTTTGGACTCTCTTTCCGACTCCACATGCGCCCATGTGTGCAACATCGAATGTGGCACAGAGGACGGAGGCCCCGCTGGCCTCGCGGGATGGGGAGGCGGAGTCCTCGGAGGCCCGAGTGAGCCCCAGTGCTTCGGAATCTCGGAGCCGGCACGCCGACCGTGCCGCCGAGCCCAGCGAGCATGACGAGCATTCTGCCGAGCATGCCGCGAAGCTGTCCCAGCAGGCGTCGTGACTACCAAAACTTTGCCCGGTCCTCCTCCCCAAAAAATGAATGGTAAGCGACTGAGCTGAGTGTTGCGCAGGTTGAGGGTTTGGAGATCAAGCTGGAGCTTGCAAATCAGAAGATCCGCGCCCTCAAGGACGCAGCTGCCCGGGGCGTCAAACAAATCCTGCAGGGCGGCGCGAGCATTGAAGCCATGAACTAGGTATGACGTGACACTGGGTGTGCTCTCTTGTGTCATGCAGTTTACCCCGAGCTGGCGTAAGGGGTTGAGGAGCCACGAGCATTTTTCATGAGAACCGCCATGGAGCCGCCTTTCTTTAGCAGAGCGGGTCAGGAGCAGTTGCTTCGCCAGCAGCGCAGGCTACCTGAAGGGGAGAACGCAGAGAACCTGCCAGGCCACCGAGCTGCACGCAGCTGTGCTCTCAGGCCTATATGCAAGAATAAGTATGAGTGTGAGGTAGTGGGCGGAGCACCCGAAATCATTTCGAGACGCTGATAAGTCATAAGCAGATCTTGCACTGTAGCTTGAGACTTAGTCACAACAGATCACGGGGAAGTAATTTGTATCCAGAAGCACCTGTTGGCAGAGCGCAGCTCGAGGCGACAAAGAGGATGCGGCGGAGATTCCTGACTTCATGCTCCCCTACCAGTTGCTCGCAAAGAGGAAGTTGCCAAGATGGATGATCTTGAGTCAGGCTGGGGAGCCGAACATAGCCGAACTGGAACCTGTCGGAACCTGTTGGACCCTGCGGCATCCTCCTGTTGTTCGTATTTTCCTTTTCCGCGTGAGGATGCCGCCCTCAAGCGCAAGAAGCGGGAGTACCTCGAAAAAGCTGAGAACAAGAGCGTGGGCAGCTTGGGGAAGGAGGCCGCCTGGCCCAAGACGTTCGATCGACGTTCCGCTGTGCCCCTTAAAGTACGTTTAACATGATGTCGGACCGCAGATGGTTTCAGACACTTAGGGGGTGCTTGCTTAGACTCTCAAAGATCTCAGAAAAATAAGTCTCCAATTCCTTTGAGTTTTTGTTGTTGAGAGGTCTTCGCGGCCTTCGACTTCCTTGTGACCGCAGCGGATGCGGCGGACGGCGCGAGGCCCTCGGACCGACTCGGGGGTACTCTCAGAGTCTCAGAGTACTGTTTTGTTCAATCCGCTCAGAGACTCAGAAGTCAGCTGGGAGTTGGGGGCCGGTGGGGATGTAGAGAAGGCGTTTTGTACGGTGTTTTTTGCAGAATGAAGTGGGAGGCCCTGCTTTTTTTTGGGAGGTGGGGATTCACTCTGAGGTGCAGCCAGAACGGCAAGCAGGCCGATTACCATCTCCGTCGCGCCTCCCTCAGACACAAGATTCCAGCAAGCGACTCGATATGTACTTGAGAGAACTTGAAAGTCTCCAGAGCCTCTGCAAATGTCGTAAGCCCCAGCTAGACTCTAGAAATCTCTAGAACCTTCAACTCTTGGTCTTGTCATGCGTCACGGCGTACCGTTGCATTCCTGCACCGCTGCTTGTGATCACCGCTCTATCGCTAACCCTAAAGGGAAGAGCAGCTGAGGCCTTCCGCACGTCGCTCTTCAGCCGAGGCGCAGCACCGGGAATGCCAGTCGCAGGGCATAAACTGCCCAATTGGGCCAAATATAGTCCCATTGGTGAGCTGATCAGGTGGCGGTCTTCGGTTCCAGGCTGCAAAGGCTGCACAGCACGGCAAGCGCGGCAAGCGCGGCGAGCGCAGACCCGGCGAGCCCACACTCCCAGAACCTGCCGTGCCTTCAGCGCCCGCCCCGGACGGCTTCGCCGGTCGAAATCACCCATCCATGGCAGCCATGGGAGGCATCCCGGCTCCCTCGGCGCGAGCGCGTGGACCGCAGTGTGGACACCAATGTGGACCGCATGGACCGTGCGGACATGCATCGCGATTTTCAAGGCTCCCGAGCCACCTGCATTCAGGGCAATGCCATTTTCAGCAAAACCGCGAACGCGGCCAGTTTCACATCTCCCAAGGAGAGCAAATTCGAGAGTCAGGCATATGCCAACTATGCCAACTATGGCCAAGTCGCCTCAGGTACTATCACAGAACCGACCACTCACTTCCCAACTGCTCGGACAGACTGCAACTTCTTCCGCAGTCGCCCCAAAAGTCCCAAAGGCAAAGACACAGGACATACAACCGGTGCAACCGGTGCCGAGAAACGCACAAGTCCCGTTCCAAGATCTGCAAAAAGAGAGCCTGACACGCTCTCACATCTTTCACATCTTTCGCTTCCTCGCCTACATGGCCGCGACGCGATGAGAAGCGCCACATCGAAGACCTGGACGTCGCTCAAGGATGACCTTCGGACCTGAGAGCAGAGACATTTCTGTCATTTTTCCAGTGTTGGAGAGGTGCATTTTTGTTGGTTAATTTGAGTGAGAGTATACGGGTGACTGACGTGCCCCCATGGTGAAAGCCTCCTTGCATCACTTGGAGTCGAATCTCAGGTCTGGTTCGACATGGCAGGCGCGTTTCGGCGTGCTTAGAGTTGAGAGCAGAGGTTGTGCCACAGTTACTACAGCTGTGCTACTGTTACGACAGTTGTGCTACTCAGCTGTGCATTCTTTCATCTGAGTATACTGCGAGCAAGCTCTTGTACACAATACAAACCGCGACAATGTCTACTGCAGTTGCAGCATGCTGTCGGAGCCGTGATGGAAGCCACATGTGTGAAATTGGAACAGCGGGGCAGAGGATCGCGGCTCCATGCTCGGCGACCGAGCTCAAGGCCTGAGTATTCAGTACTCTTGCAAAAGAACGGGGGGGGGGGGGGGGGGGGGGGGGGGGGGGGGGGGGG